CCATACACCATTCCATTCCATTCCATCCCATACACCATTCCATTCCATTCCATCCCATACACCATTCCATTCCATTCCATCCCATACACCATTCCATTCCATTCCATCCCATACACCATTCCATTCCATTCCATCCCATACACCATTCCATTCCATTCCATCCCATACACCATTCCATTCCATTCCATCCCATACACCATTCCATTCCATTCCATCCCATACACCATTCCATTCCATTCCATCCCATACACCATTCCATTCCATTCCATCCCATACACCATTCCATTCCATTCCATCCCATACACCATTCCATTCCATTCCATCCCATACACCATTCCATTCCATTCCATCCCATACACCATTCCATTCCATTCCATCCCATACACCATTCCATTCCATTCCATCCCATACACCATTCCATTCCATTCCATCCCATACACCATTCCATTCCATTCCATCCCATACACCATTCCATTCCATTCCATCCCATACACCATTCCATTCCATTCCATCCCATACACCATTCCATTCCATTCCATCCCATACACCATTCCATTCCATTCCATCCCATACACCATTCCATTCCATTCCATCCCATACACCATTCCATTCCATTCCATCCCATACACCATTCCATTCCATTCCATCCCATACACCATTCCATTCCATTCCATCCCATACACCATTCCATTCCATTCCATCCCATACACCATTCCATTCCATTCCATCCCATACACCATTCCATTCCATTCCATCCCATACACCATTCCATTCCATTCCATCCCATACACCATTCCATTCCATTCCATCCCATACACCATTCCATTCCATTCCATCCCATACACCATTCCATTCCATTCCATCCCATACACCATTCCATTCCATTCCATCCCATACACCATTCCATTCCATTCCATCCCATACACCATTCCATTCCATTCCATCCCATACACCATTCCATTCCATTCCATCCCATACACCATTCCATTCCATTCCATCCCATACACCATTCCATTCCATTCCATCCCATACACCATTCCATTCCATTCCATCCCATACACCATTCCATTCCATTCCATCCCATACACCATTCCATTCCATTCCATCCCATACACCATTCCATTCCATTCCATCCCATACACCATTCCATTCCATTCCATCCCATACACCATTCCATTCCATTCCATCCCATACACCATTCCATTCCATTCCATCCCATACACCATTCCATTCCATTCCATCCCATACACCATTCCATTCCATTCCATCCCATACACCATTCCATTCCATTCCATCCCATACACCATTCCATTCCATTCCATCCCATACACCATTCCATTCCATTCCATCCCATACACCATTCCATTCCATTCCATCCCATACACCATTCCATTCCATTCCATCCCATACACCATTCCATTCCATTCCATCCCATACACCATTCCATTCCATTCCATCCCATACACCATTCCATTCCATTCCATCCCATACACCATTCCATTCCATTCCATCCCATACACCATTCCATTCCATTCCATCCCATACACCATTCCATTCCATTCCATCCCATACACCATTCCATTCCATTCCATCCCATACACCATTCCATTCCATTCCATCCCATACACCATTCCATTCCATTCCATCCCATACACCATTCCATTCCATTCCATCCCATACACCATTCCATTCCATTCCATCCCATACACCATTCCATTCCATTCCATCCCATACACCATTCCATTCCATTCCATCCCATACACCATTCCATTCCATTCCATCCCATACACCATTCCATTCCATTCCATCCCATACACCATTCCATTCCATTCCATCCCATACACCATTCCATTCCATTCCATCCCATACACCATTCCATTCCATTCCATCCCATACACCATTCCATTCCATTCCATCCCATACACCATTCCATTCCATTCCATCCCATACACCATTCCATTCCATTCCATCCCATACACCATTCCATTCCATTCCATCCCATACACCATTCCATTCCATTCCATCCCATACACCATTCCATTCCATTCCATCCCATACACCATTCCATTCCATTCCATCCCATACACCATTCCATTCCATTCCATCCCATACACCATTCCATTCCATTCCATCCCATACACCATTCCATTCCATTCCATCCCATACACCATTCCATTCCATTCCATCCCATACACCATTCCATTCCATTCCTTCCCATACACCATTCCATTCCATTCCATCCCATACACCATTCCATTCCATTCCTTCCCATACACCATTCCATTCCATTCCATCCCATACACCATTCCATTCCATTCCATCCCATACACCATTCCATTCCATTCCATCCCATACACCATTCCATTCCATTCCATCCCATACACCATTCCATTCCATTCCATCCCATACACCATTCCATTCCATTCCATCCCATACACCATTCCATTCCATTCCTTCCCATACACCATTCCATTCCATTCCATCCCATACACCATTCCATTCCATTCCATCCCATACACCATTCCATTCCATTCCATCCCATACACCATTCCATTCCATTCCATCCCATACACCATTCCATTCCATTCCATCCCATACACCATTCCATTCCATTCCATCCCATACACCATTCCATTCCATTCCATCCCATACACCATTCCATTCCATTCCATCCCATACACCATTCCATTCCATTCCATCCCATACACCATTCCATTCCATTCCATCCCATACACCATTCCATTCCATTCCATCCCATACACCATTCCATTCCATTCCTTCCCATACACCATTCCATTCCATTCCATCCCATACACCATTCCATTCCATTCCATCCCATACACCATTCCATTCCATTCCATCCCATACACCATTCCATTCCATTCCTTCCCATACACCATTCCATTCCATTCCATCCCATACACCATTCCATTCCATTCCATCCCATACACCATTCCATTCCATTCCATCCCATACACCATTCCATTCCATTCCATCCCATACACCATTCCATTCCATTCCATCCCATACACCATTCCATTCCATTCCTTCCCATACACCATTCCATTCCATTCCATCCCATACACCATTCCATTCCATTCCTTCCCATACACCATTCCATTCCATTCCATCCCATACACCATTCCATTCCATTCCATCCCATACACCATTCCATTCCATTCCATCCCATACACCATTCCATTCCATTCCTTCCCATACACCATTCCATTCCATTCCATCCCATACACCATTCCATTCCATTCCTTCCCATACACCATTCCATTCCATTCCATCCCATACACCATTCCATTCCATTCCTTCCCATACACCATTCCATTCCATTCCATCCCATACACCATTCCATTCCATTCCATCCCATACACCATTCCATTCCATTCCTTCCCATACACCATTCCATTCCATTCCATCCCATACACCATTCCATTCCATTCCATCCCATACACCATTCCATTCCATTCCATCCCATACACCATTCCATTCCATTCCATCCCATACACCATTCCATTCCATTCCATCCCATACACCATTCCATTCCATTCCATCCCATACACCATTCCATTCCATTCCATCCCATACACCATTCCATTCCATTCCATCCCATACACCATTCCATTCCATTCCATCCCATACACCATTCCATTCCATTCCATCCCATACACCATTCCATTCCATTCCATCCCATACACCATTCCATTCCATTCCATCCCATACACCATTCCATTCCATTCCATCCCATACACCATTCCATTCCATTCCATCCCATACACCATTCCATTCCATTCCATCCCATACACCATTCCATTCCATTCCATCCCATACACCATTCCATTCCATTCCATCCCATACACCATTCCATTCCATTCCATCCCATACACCATTCCATTCCATTCCATCCCATACACCATTCCATTCCATTCCATCCCATACACCATTCCATTCCATTCCATCCCATACACCATTCCATTCCATTCCATCCCATACACCATTCCATTCCATTCCATCCCATACACCATTCCATTCCATTCCATCCCATACACCATTCCATTCCATTCCATCCCATACACCATTCCATTCCATTCCATCCCATACACCATTCCATTCCATTCCATCCCATACACCATTCCATTCCATTCCATCCCATACACCATTCCATTCCATTCCATCCCATACACCATTCCATTCCATTCCATCCCATACACCATTCCATTCCATTCCATCCCATACACCATTCCATTCCATTCCATCCCATACACCATTCCATTCCATTCCATCCCATACACCATTCCATTCCATTCCATCCCATACACCATTCCATTCCATTCCTTCCCATACACCATTCCATTCCATTCCATCCCATACACCATTCCATTCCATTCCTTCCCATACACCATTCCATTCCATTCCATCCCATACACCATTCCATTCCATTCCATCCCATACACCATTCCATTCCATTCCATCCCATACACCATTCCATTCCATTCCTTCCCATACACCATTCCATTCCATTCCATCCCATACACCATTCCATTCCATTCCTTCCCATACACCATTCCATTCCATTCCATCCCATACACCATTCCATTCCATTCCTTCCCATACACCATTCCATTCCATTCCTTCCCATACACCATTCCATTCCATTCCATCCCATACACCATTCCATTCCATTCCATCCCATACACCATTCCATTCCATTCCATCCCATACACCATTCCATTCCATTCCATTCCATTCCATCCCATACACCATTCCATTCCATTCCATTCCATTCCATTCCATTCCATTCCATTCCATTCCATTCCATTCCATTCCATTCCATTCCATTCCATTCCATTCCATTCCATTCCATTCCATTCCATTCCATTCCATTCCATTCCATTCCATTCCATTCCATTCCATTCCATTCCATTCCATTCCATTCCATTCCATTCCATTCCATACCATCCCATGCAATCCCATGCATCACCATGATGCAGGGTGCGGGCACATGGCAGGCAGCAGAGGCATCGCTCTTCATGCTGCGATCCGCTGCACAGGCAGGTAAGGCTGCTCGCCTGCCACCTCACACTGCTCGCCTGCCACCTCACGCTGCTCGCCTGCCACCTCACGCTGCTCGCCTGCCACCTCACGCTGCTCGCCTGCCACCTCACGCTGCTCGCCTGCCACCTCACGCTCACCTCACCTCACTCATGTCAGTTGCATCGCACCCCTCCCTTGCATCATGGCGGTTTAGAAACTTCTCAAAGGGATTGCCTACGTCAGAGCAACCCGCAGTGGTATGGCAAGGGGAAGCATGTGTGTGTGCTCTGCTACCCTGGCTTGCTCGCTGCCCTTGCGTTGCTCGCCCCCACCCACGTTTTTGTCAGTTGCATCGCACTTTTGGTGCTCCGCTGCTCTAGCTACAATAATGCTCTTTTGGTGCCCCCCAAGTTTCTTTACCCCATGAAGCCCCTTTGCACCCCATCTCTCCCAACTTCCCCCCTCTAGTGCTCCCCACCAGTGAAGAAGCGGCTACTGAATCGGGAGGAATACGGGGAGAGGGAGCAGTGCATGGCAGCAGTGCTGGGGGGAGTGATGGTGCGGGTGAGCCGAGACGCGGAGACAGGATGCTTCCTGGCGTCGCACCCCCTAAGCACCCCATGTCCCATCCCACCCCCATGCTTCCCCCAATGCCCCCCCAATGCCCCCCCAATGCTCCCTCTAATTCTCCTCCCCAGTGAAGAAGCGGCTACTAAACCTGGAGGCATACGGGGAGAGGGAGCAGCGCATGGCAGCCGTGCTGGGGGGGGTGATGATGCGGGTGAGCCGGGACGCGGAGACAGGGGGGTTTCTGGCGTCGCACCCCCTGCTGGTGGACACGTGTTGCCTCCTCATTGGCTCCTTCGCTGACTGGCTCAACCTTCAGCCCGACTGCCTGCTGGGCGTCATTGGCTACCTCCTTAAAGCCCTGCAAGTAAGTCTCCTAAATTTCTGGACATAATCCCTCAAATCCCTGAAGGTAGTCTTTTAAATCCCTGCAGTGACCTGTTTTAGTCCGAGAAAGTGAGGAAGAATTGTGGATGCATTAAAAGAAGAGTCTGTATACATAGTTGTGAGTAGGAAGGAGTGGGGTGGGTGGGTTCGGCCCTAGGTCATTTGGTCGTACCACTATGTTGAGATGGGTACTTATCGGAGGGACGTGCAGCAGATGCATTCGGAGCCATGTGTGCCCGCTGTGCCGTGCACTATGCATCCACCCTCACTTCTTCCTCTCTCGCCTCTCCACGTCTCTCTCTGCTTCTTCGCCTTCCCCTTCACGACATCCCCTCGCTCCCACCCCCCACCAGGTACCAGAGGCAGTGCGCAGTGCAGCATGTGCGTTCAGAGCCGTGTGCGCCCGCTGCGCCTCCTGCCTCAACTTCCTTTTCCTGTACGCTGTCCCCTCGCCCCTCCTCCCCCCATCATTCAGGTACCAGAGGCACTGCGCAGTGCAGAAGGTGCGTTCGTAGCCGTGTGTGCCCCTCGCCTCAACGCCCATTCTTTATTTCTTCCACGTATTCTCCTTCCGTCCTCCTCCCCTCAACCCCCCGTTTCTCCCCTCCAGGTACCAGAGGCAGTGCGCAGTGCAGCAGGGGCATTCAGGGCCGTGTGCGCCCGCTGTGCCCCGCGTCTCAACGCCCCGTCCCTGCTCCAACACCTCATGTCCGCCACCCTCTCCGCCCTCCCCTCCACCTCCCTCATCGCCTCTCGCCCCCGCGGCACCGCCCACCTCCCTTCCTCCTTCTCCTCCTCCCTCTCCTCCTCCTCCTTCTCCTCCTTCTCATCCTCCTCCTCCTTCTCCTTCCCCTCGTCGCACTCTCACGCGCCCGCCTCCCACCCCGCCTCCCCTCACTCCGTAGACCTGGAGATTAGACAGGCCCTAATGGAAGGGCAGGCACGGGTCATCGCCTCCCTCCCCCCCTCCACCGCTGCCCCTCTCGCTCTCAGCCTCACCTCGCTGCACATACAGCTGGCAGCACAGCTGGCACAGATGCAGACGAATGAAGCCAGTGGGTTTGGATCGAGCAGTGACGGTGGTGGGAGGAGTAGCACTGGTGGTGGGATTGGCGCGGTTGGGAGTGGTGGGAGTGGGGGTGAGGCGGTGGGAGAGTCGCTGTCGACGCAGCTGCTGCTGCTGGCTGCTGCTGTGCGTTTTCTTGAGTTTGACGACGCCTTGAGACGCATGCCGCCCTCCCAGCAACAACAACAGCAGCACGAAGCAATGAGGAACGGAGGAGCACACATACCAGAACAACAACAATCACAGAACCACCAACAGCAGCAGCAGCAGCAGCAGCAGCAGCAGCAGCAGCAGCAGCACCCGTGCATAGCAGTGATGGAAGCAGCAGCACCACTGGTATCAGAGCTCCTCTCCTCCCCCCGATGGCGCTCCCACCCGCAAGTCATCACCGCCCTCTGCCACCTCTTCCGCCACTCCCTGCTCTGCCTCAAGCACCCCTCTCCACCCATCCTGCCGTCCATCGCACCGCTTGTCACCGCATTCGAGGAGCACCAGCACCCGGCCGTGTTAGAGGTGCTGGCTTTGGTGCTGGAGCTCAGTGCTTCTGCAGCGTCTGCTGGGGGTGCTGCTGGGGATCTCTCCCTCTGTCACTCCGCCCTGCAAGCTTGCTCCATCAGTGCTTTCTCGCTCATTCAGGTGAGCCTGTCTCACGTCTCTGTGATTCGGCATTCGAGGAGCACCAGCACCCGGCCGTGCTCGAGGTGCTGGCTTTGGTGCTGGAGCTCAGTGTTGCTGCGGCGTCTGCTGGGGGTGCTGCTGGGGATCTCTCCCTCTGTCACTCTGCACTGCAGGCCTGCTCCATCAGTGCATTCTCTCTCATTCAGGTGAGCCTGTCTCCCTTCACTGCGTTCAGCATGCTGCGTTCAGCACCTGCACCTGCACCTGCACGCCTGTTTCGTCTGAGCTTTCTCTCTCATGCTTAGTAATAAGAGGAAGACAGAGGCCCTGGCTTGAGTAACCTTCTCAAGCCTCCCTCCTTCTCCCCTCCCATCCACACAGTGCGGTCATCTCCCCCACCACCTTGAGGTCCTAATATCGCTCTTCCACATGGCGTATCGCTGTCTGCTCTTCCATTCACACCTGCTGTTGCAGGCGCCCGTCCGACGCCTCTCACCCCACCATCCACTCCCCTACCTTCCCATGCTTTCCTCCTGCCCCCCTCCCATCCACACAGCGCGGTCATCTCCCCCATCGCCCAGAGGCCCTCTCGGCGCTCTTCGACATGGCGTACCGCTACCTGCTCTTCGCACCACATCTGCTGCAGAAACCTTCCCTTCCAACCCCATCTAAACTCCTTCCCATACCTCCCCTCCTGCTTCCCTCCCATCCACACAGAGAGGTCATCTCCCCCATCGGCCAGAGGTCCTGTCAGCCCTCTTCGACATGGCGTACCGCTACCTGCTCTTCGCACCACATCTGCTGCAGAAACCTTCCCTTCCAACCCCATCTAAACTCCTTCCCATACCTCCCCTCCTGCTTCCCTCCCATCCACACAGAGAGGTCATCTCCCCCATCGGCCAGAGGTCCTGTCAGCCCTCTTCGACATGGCGTACCGCTACCTGCTCTTCGCACCACATCTGCTGCAGAAACCTTCCCTTCCAACCCCATCTAAACTCCTTCCCATACCTCCCCTCCTGCTTCCCTCCCATCCACACAGAGAGGTCATCTCCCCCATCGGCCAGAGGTCCTGTCAGCCCTCTTCGACATGGCGTACCGCTACCTGCTCTTCGCACCACATCTGCTGCAGAAACGTTCCCTTCCAACCCCATCTAAACTCCTTCCCATACCTCCCCTCCTGCTTCCCTCCCATCCACACAGAGAGGTCATCTCCCCCATCGGCCAGAGGTCCTGTCAGCCCTCTTCGACATGGCGTATCGCTACCTGCTCTTCGCGCCGCACCTGCTGCTGCAGGCGCCCTTCCTGGGGGCACTGCTGGACGCAGCAGCAGCGACAGTGGCACACGGGGAGAGAGATTCCGCCAAGTCAGCGCTCACGCTGCTCTGCTTCCTGCTCTCCCCGGGGAAGAAGGCGCTCTCGTCCCCCGCCTGGATCAGGTAAGACACACACTGTCACTCGTTCACACCGAGTCTGAGACGGTGCAAGGGCGCTCGCTTGAGATTGAGAGCGATCTCATTCCTCAATCTCACTCTTGCTCTCACCGTGTGCTCACCCTACTCTGCGTGCTGCTGTCTCTGGGAGCAAGGGCGCTCTCGTCCCCCACCTGGATCAGGTGACACGATCATTTCGCCTCTCCCCTCATCCGTCCCCCCTCGCCTCCCCGCTTCCCTCTCCCCTCATCCGTCCCCCCTCGCCTCCCCGCTTCCCTCTCCCCTTCGCCCCTCGTCCCTTCCCTCCCGCCCCAGTGCCCGCCTCGTGATTATAACGAGTCTCCCCTCCCCTCTCCCCTCCTGTCTTCCATCCCCCCTCCCTTCTCCCCCCTCCCCTCACCTCTCACCCTCGCCTCTCCTCTCTCTCCTCGCACCCCCATCCCCCCCAGTGCTCAACCCGTGATTATAACAAGTCTGCAGCACCAAGGCCAATCAGTCATCTCCTCCCTCCTCCTAGCAGCCGCGGGAAAAGCCCCCAGAGACCTACTCAGACCCATCGCCACCACTCTCTACCACCTCATCCTCCTCCCCGACCTCCACCCGCTCCTCCCCAACTGGCTGGTTACCGCGTTACGCTCTTCAGACTTTCAACGGGGGGTGCCAGAGGCGGTGGGGGAGGGGGAGATGCAGCTGTTTTGTGAGTTGGTGTTGAGACAGCCCCCGCTGCCAAGGCAGCGGTTTGAAGCGCTGGTGGCGGATTTTGCTGCCCTTTGCCGCTCTGAAGGGACAGCTGATGCGCTGTTGGGCTACCAGATGTAGTGCTGCTGATGGGTGTCGCTGTGTGTGCAACGAGCTACGGTACCGTATGTGTGTGGCTGCAGCGGCAGTGGGGGAGGGGGAGACGCAGCTGTTTTGTGAGTTGGTGCTGCGGCAGCCCCTGCTGCCCCGGCAGCGATTTGAAGCGCTGGTGGCGGATTTTGCTGCTATTTGCCGTTCTGAGGGGACAGCTGATGTGCTGCTGGGGTACCAGACGTAGTGCTACCGCTTCGATAGGGCGCGGATGCCCTGCTGAACCGATGACCTGCTGAGCTGATGCGCATGCCCGATGCGCTGCTTGGGTATCAGGTGTGGTGTAGTGTCACTGATGGGTGCTGCTGTGCTTGTAGCCATGTATGTTGCTGTGTGGTTTAGGAGTAGCAGCTAAGCGGTTAGTATGCCACGTGTTTAGCCATCTATCTTGCTGCGCATGTTGAGATTGCGAGTAACCTTTTTAGTGGTTAGCTTATCTACGCATTCTATTTATCGCTTTGTTTACATCCGTGATTGTAGAATAAGCAGGAAGAAGAAAGCACTTTGGTTGCGGTGAGGAACAGGAATCCCAGAAATTATGTGCAGAAACAGGTGAGTAGTAATGTAGAGTGGTTCGTGGATCTAGTGCTGATATTGGGGATCCGTCCTGAGATATATAAACAGAACTGCACATGGTGTACAGGAGAGGAGAATACAATGTTGGTTAATTACAATTACTGTGTAATTACAATTACCGCAGAACAGTACCCGCCATTACGTCCTTCCCTTGCTTCGGTGAGCACTTTCCAAGGCGATGATTGGTGGTAGGAAGCGGCCTAGCGGCCCTTCCAAACCGAACCCAGCCGATAGATTCTAGCAGCAGCTTCCGTACCACCCCATCGCAAGCGCAATGCAAACAAGCGGCTGGTTGACTGCGGCCGCTATTGATACCTTCTCGAATAGGCGGTTCGCGGCTTGTCCTTCCGAGTCGCTTCGCTCATCGTCCAGTAGCCGAGCCGCTCCATGCATGCTTCGTCAACTAATCCGACGAGACAGTAGAGTACAAATGTTAGGAATTTGGAGATTTCAATCATTCAAGTTAATCTATTCCTTGGAGTTACTGGTTCACAAGTTCTCGACATTTCCACTCGACTGAAGTCGCCCTTGTCTTCATCAATCTAGCTGCTTTCCGCCATGGCTGCGAAGTCGGTCTCCGCGTTCTCTCTGCTTGTCCTCGCGCTCTTGAGCCTGTCACTGACCGCTGACGCGGCTCGTCCGTACTGCCGCTTCGATGGGAAGCTGGTGGTGAGCAACCTGATGAGGGAGCTGCGGGCCGCCAAGAATTACACCACCTTTGTCGACGGGCTGAAAACAACAGGTCAGATTCCGCAACATCCGATTCACAGCAAATCACATTGAATGTTCGTCGTTGTGATATTACACGCCCTTCAACTCAGCATTTTCATGTTTTTCGTTAGCTAATTTTCCGAGCCTCACGTCACGTTCTCTTCACGTTTTCCGTCTGCCGTTATCCGTCAGGGCTGGACGAGGACCTGACGGACCTGTTCCACTGCTACGAGGCGACCGTCTTCGCTCCCACCGACGCCGCGTTTGCGAACCTTTCGAGCGACTTCAAATCGGAGCTCCGCGAAAGGAAGGTGCTTCGCGAGGTGCTGCTGCTGCACGTCGTCAAGGGCAAGGTCAACGGCGCCACGTTGGCCGGGCAGAAGGAGGGACTGCAGGTGAGAAAAGGGACACGGCGGAGCGACAAACGAGTCAATAATTACGCGATGTCCTCACTTCTGGAATATTGTTTTTGCTTCTGCTCGATCCGATGTACCCCCAGCATCCCACCCACCCCTACCCATAATCCTACTCCCAGTCGATTTGTTGATTTATGTCTGGAGAGCCAGTCGTGCTTGAGAAACGTGTTGTAGTCAACTCGTACCCACACTCTCTCAAATCACCTAGTAACCCTGCTTTTTCCCCTCCCTCCAGTACATGGCCGCGGCTGATTCGTGCAAGGCGCAGCTGGTGAAGGTTTCAGCTGCAGGGGTCAAGCCGGTTCAGCTCAAGGCTACGGACGGTGCGGACGAAGCTTCCGTGGTGGCTCCTGACGTCACATCGCTGCGAGTGGTGCAGGTGCATGGCGTGGATGACGTCATCCTGCCCAAGACTCTGAGCAAGGGCGACGACGACAGCCTCAAGCCCCGCAAATGCACCGCCTGGTGGTGTTACCACGCTACCAGCCAGGTGGTTACCAGCTCGGTGACCAGCCTAGTTCGTTACTGGGCTAGATGGTGAATTTCTTACGCGGCGCTGGAGAGCTAGCTGGGACCACACAATGAGACGGCTGTCATACGATGCTGACTCTGCAGGAAGAATGTGGGTGGTTTGCAAATAGGGCTTTCTTTTACCTGCACCATGCGTGTCACAGGGTGTGTATCCAGTTTGCCCACTTGATACTACGAATCGCCTTTGGATGTGACGTTAAACCCCGTAACAATAAGAAGCCAGTGATCGTTTGAAGAAACACTAATGTGCTCGGTTCGCCAACTTTACGACGGTATGCATCGCGCAGGGCTTACCTGGGTGTAACGCGAGACAGGTCACCAAGTCAATGCTCCTGAAAGGACCTGCCTTGATAGGTCGCCCAGGTGATGTAACGCGGCGTCCGAGCCTCGAACAGCCTCGAATGGTTGCAGCTCACCCATCCTTACCTGGTAACACCGCCACTGATGGCAGATGTTGGCACAGATGCGAAAGTGGCTCGAGAGTCGAAGTACAGCTAATTGAGACTCGCATGACAGGCACTGCGAGCGAAGCCTTTATGAACACGGATGACTTTCAGCAGGGTTGGAGATTAAAAACTGGCCGCATGGGCAAATGCGCTAAGCTACGGAAACAGGAAAGGTTGGGAGGTACTGTGAGAGCCGCAGGGGGAGAAATGCTAGTGCTGTCCCGACGCACATCGGCTGTTCTTGAAGGCTCCTCCTCGATTTCGACTCAATTGCACTCGCTCAGGGTTCTAGTGTCGGGCTACAGTGGTAGCGAACCATTTGTGATCTTCCCTTCCACAAGTCGCGGTTTGGGCAATTTCGTGGGTTGGTTGGTTGGATGGAGCAGGCGGTTTGGCCCGTCGATTTGCATGCAGCGTGAATGCCGGTCTGCTTCTGATTGTGTGGACAATGCTGTGAGGTGTGGAAGAACAAGCCAACATGAACACTATAACCTGGAATTCTTTTATAAAAACATGAAAACGTGAACAACGGTGAGCAGAATGATGTTGTTTTCCTCGTCTGATTTGTTTGTCCCCAACCCCACTCGGCTGCTTTCTTCTCATTTGATATTTACGGCGTGTTGCAATTGCCGGTGCACTGCATCGGCTCGGGACGTTTGGAAGGCTCCAGGCAGGCGGGAGGCCAAACACGGGCACTGGTTCGGGTAAGAAAAGTTTCAAGTTGGTGATTCAAAGAGTTATTTACAAAGGTTATATTAGGGCATTGATTCTTTCTGCGCGTTTCTTGTGCCAAATTTACGGCCTCTTGCGTTCCTGGAGCCTTCCTAAACCCGTGCCACGAGCCGAGCCGATGCAGTGCACCGCGAATTGCAACACGCCATTAGCGAACTTCCCCCCAGCAGCTCACCGTTCCTTCCCGCTTGATCGCGCTTCTGCACGTCAGCTTGAACAGGTGTGCGTTGCAAAGTGTCTCCCCGCACTCCACTTCGCCTGAACGCCCTCCACCAGTAGCTCCACCAATCCTCAGCGCTTTCAGCGCTTACGCAAGTCAGCATGAACAGGCGCCTAGCAGCTACACGATTAGCACTGGCTACTTCCCCTTCCCCCCACTCCGCTTGGCCTGCACGCCCATGCCCCCCAGCAGCTACACCCTTCGCTCTGCCACGTCCCCCTGTCAGCACAGCACGAGAGCATGGGGACGAAAAATGGGCAGGGAGGGAGGGAGGGACAGGGGGAGGACGGTTAAAGATTGGTTCTGTAAAATCCCCCTCCCTCCCTCCCTCGCTCCCAGAACTCGGGTCACGGAACGTGAAGGAGGAGGTGCCATTCTTCTGCTGAGAAGCAGTCCCTCCCAACATTCCCTTTGCCACGCACAGCCTGCAACCCATGCGTGAACAGTCTGGAGCGAACAACGCGTGCACAGGGCATCCCATGAGGTGCCACCAGTGCAAACTGCTGCCCTGTGCACACTGCTGGTCGTTGCAGCACAGAGAGGGAAAATAGTTTCTTGTGGTGGAGGTCTGGTGATTACTGCCAGGTTAATGTGGGCTAATGTGGGTGAAGGCAGATTTTTGTGATTGAATGCCAGTGAATGCGAGTCAGGTTGAAGGCCATGCCATGAGGAGCATTCGCGCGTCACACATGCACCATCACACATGCACCATCACACATGCACCATCACACATGCACCATCACACATGCACCATCACACATGCACCATCACACATGCACCATCACACATGCACCATCACACATGCACCATCACACATGCACCATCACACATGCACCATCACACATGCACCATCACACATGCACCATCACACATGCACCATCACACATGCACCATCACACATGCACCATCGCACATGCACCATCGCACATGCACCATCGCACATGCACCATCGCACATGCACCACCACACATGCACCATCACACATGCACCATCACACATGCACCATCACACATGCACCTTCACACATGCACCATCACACATGCACCACCACACATGCACCACTACACATGCACCACCACACATGCACCATCGCACATGCACCATCGCACATGCACCATCGCACATGCACCATCGCACATGCACCATCACACATGCACCACCACACATGCACCACCACACATGCACCATCACACATGCACCATCACACATGCACCATCACACATGCACCATCACACTTGCATCATGAACCATACGCCATGAGCCATGACACATGCACCACCACACATGCGCCACACATGCACCATCACACATGCACCATCACACATGCACCATCACACA